CTTCCCCCCCCCCCCCCCCCAAAAACAAACAAACCCCAAAAAACAAAAAAACAAAAACTCCAACTTCTTATGGGGCTAAGTTTGAATGGATTAAGTATACAAGTTGCTGTATGTAAGTTGCACTATACATGCCTGCTCCTGTGCTGACTGTTTTACTGTATATTAGCAAAAGCTCAGAAGCTAACTAAAAGGATTCTTTTTTAGAGATGCAGAGTTGGGATGTTAGGAAGCTTTTGTTTCTAAAATACAGTTTTGGAACAATGTTAGTGTTTTCATATTTTTTTCATATTGCTTTGTGAAATAAAAGAACATCTATTTTTATTCTTTTTCTTTTGTTCTGTTTTCCGCAGGAGTCTGTGTGTTCCTGGCTTCTGTTTACATTGGGGACATTTGGCTTGGAGCTCAGGAACCAGATACATTAATAACCCATGTCAAATTGATCTGTGGTAGTACAGATGGTATATTAAATGCTGATGACAGGAAACACCACAAAAAAGCAGATGAATTCATTGTGTCACTTTGCAAAGAACTTAATTCAGCTGTGCTGGGACATTAATTCTCTTTAATGACTCTTAATCTTAAATGTCAGATGCTTACATCATCATTGCTGGTAACGCTGAAATCTTGGAGATGCACTATTGTACAAATTTAAATTATTTTTCAGTGAAAAACAAAAGTTGACTATGAAGCACAAGTTCTGAAAGAGACTTAAAAGACTTCTGTGCAAAATGAACCTTGCACTGAAAAATTCAAGCAGGATTTGTTCAGATATGGACAGGGCGGGACCCTGAAACTTCTGTGTCAGTTATATTACAGACATTATTTTACTTTGTAAAATGGAGGGGAGAGGAGGAAAGACTGATTACTGTAGTGCCTCAGAACTCCAGTTCAGTCCCTCACGTAGTTCAGGTCCGTCGTGTGTCAAATTGAGGAGTAAAAAGCAATTACCGTCTCTTACCAGAATCCAAAGTTAACGCAAAGAATAAGTATTTATATGATTAGTCATTACGATTTAGTATTCATTCCAAATGGCAGCTACTCCTTATGGAATATAAAGCCCAAACCAGCATAAGGAAATGCAACAAACTATGGAACCGTGACATTCTGCATCTTTTGAAAATGAAATTACTTTTTAAAAGCTGTATCAGAGTTCTTCTGGTTTTGTTGTTTGCCAGAGAATGCAAGTTTTAGCTACTGTAACAAAGATGGCAAGCCTATCTTCTCCCATAATGGAATAGGTGAACAATGAATTTTTGTGTTCTTATCTGTGCTGTAACCTGCCCTATGCTTTTCCTGCTCTGGGGTGAGTATCCTTCTATCACATCCTACTCCTACAGCAGAGTGAAAGGGACAATGAACTTGGATCTCTTGTGTGGAAGTAGCTAGCATCATGTTCTTTCTGACAGCCGTGACCCTTTCTGATAACCTGACCTTCTGCCTGTTTTCTCAGTAAAACTATAATGGTTTGGTACTGTTCATACATGTGAAATTGAAGAGGATGCTCTCTCTTTCAGCTGAAGACCAAAAATACTAAATTGGCCTAAGGAAGGAGCAAAATAATTGCCCTGTGTGATTACATAGGTTTTTCATTGTATATGTTTTATGAAATCTAATAAATATTTCTTGAACAAGACAAACAAAGGGCAGTTTGACACACCATTTCAGATGCAGGGTCTTGCAGGTGCTGTATTTGAAATTTTACAGTCTAAACCAGGATTCTTAAATTTATTCTCAAATATGTGCTCTGCACTGGAACTTTGTACAGATTTCATACTGGAAGTACATTCATAAGCATGGTGTTACATTCTATGTTAATATATTTTGGAATAAAACATATAATTTTTATTTGCAGTTTCATAGATTTTATTTGAATCAGTCTATTTGAAATATGATTTTAAAAACTACAGAACAAGTTTGTAATTAAAATTCTGTGATTAAACAAAGGACCCATCAATAAGCCATACTCGATATATGATTTAGACCAGGCTTGTCCAACATATGGCCCGCGGGCCGCCATGCTGCCCGCCGAGCCATTTTATCTGGCCCATGGTGGCACCGCCGCTGAGCGCAGAGCCGCAGCAGCAAGGCGAGGCGGGCAGGGCCGGCCTGCGGGCTCCAGCCGGCAGTGAGGGGAGCTGCTTACCCCCGCAGGGCTGGGCTCATCAGTGCTAGTGATCAGTGCTGTGTGGCGCGGGGCTGTCCCAGCCGCGCCTGATTAGATGAGCTGGGGACAGGGCGTGCAGCTTCTTCTCTGGCTCCGCCCCTTGCCCCGGCGCGTGGCTGGGGGAGCTGCAGCATGGCCCGTGCCCTGCCCGCATGCATGGTGGGTGGAGGCACGAGGTAAGTTCCCACGTGGAGCTGGGGGCCCCTTGGGGCTGGGCCGGGGCTGCGGGGCGCGCAGTTGGCGGAGCTGGGCTGGGCAGGAGGAGCCCGGCCCAGAGGTGCTCTGGCTGCCTTCTTGGCAGTTCAGTTTCTGCTAATGTAGCCTGCATGGCTGAGGATGGGGGTCTGCATGATGCTGGAGCAGCCCGTGCAGTGAGGGGGTCCTAGGGGCCCACCCCCACAGCGTGCAGCCTGTGCAACACACGCTGGTGTTATCTGAGGTCCACAACCCCATGCTGTGGAGGTAGGCACCTAGGACCCCCTCATTGCAAAGGCTGCTCCAGCAGCATGCAGACCCCCATCCTCAGCCATGCAGGCTACATTTGCAGGACATGGACCACTCCCCCCCTGGCCTTTCCCCCTTGCACAGCAGTGGGAGAGGTAGCTGCCCAGGCCTGCCCATGCCCTATATATTAACTGCTTGCAGACCCTATGTAGACTGTGGGCAACATCCTGGCCCTTTGTGGGCCACGTGTGGCCTGCAGGTAGTCAGCTGGGCAGCCCTAATCTAGTCCAACCCCTTGCACAGAAAAATGATGTCCTGTTCCTAAGCCATACCAAACATACATACTTTCTGAAAACTTCCCTAGGCACATTTCCAGGCCCATTGCATTGTCACTTCCTGCAACTTCATTGGTGTCAAAGGTCACGTGACATTGCCTCCTGATGTGACTCCACTTCCTGTGAGATCTTTGAATATGGCTTCCGGGCCCATCAGGTGATAAAAGGTCATGATCTGGCCCCACATTCAAAAAGGTTGGACACCCCTGATTTAGACCTAAGACTGAACACCACTGAGAATATTCCCTGATATGTCATTTTAAAGTGCATTTTTTTTCTTAAAAAAAGAAAATTGGCTGCCACCTTATTGTCCATGGCTAGACTCTGAAAGCAGAGTGGTATGACATAACATTAGCCACGGCTAGAAATTAAGAGCACATCATTCCTCAGCCTTTACAGCCACTAACATCCTGCTGTTGCTTATGCTTATGCAGAGGCAGAATGAAGAAGAAAGGCAGGCTGTCAATACTCTGAATCTATGAATCTCCATTCAAGTGGAAAGGAAAATATAATGACAAATAAGGGAAAGCAATAGGGTTCAACTGCCTTAAAAGGTTGTTATAAGCAATGGTGAATTTAGGAAAGACTTGGTTGTAGAAAAAGATGTGAGTGACAGCACCAAAAAAAGTATATTTTTGAAGGATTATACGGAGTGTTGAAGAGTACTTTTTCATTCGAGTGTTTCAGTCCCTGTTTAGTGACTTTCCTTTTTTTAGCTTGCCACATAGTTTCAAGTGATGGCAACAACAAAGCTTCTACATGCATGCATTCGAACAGGAGTCGTGATGGAGAAAAAGACCTAGGGAGTCTATGGTTTGTTTTAATGATCAGTTTTGAAACAATTGTATTTGTAGGGTTATAATGAGGGACCTACTGAATTCACGATTTCACATTTTTCATGGACACTGCGAATTGGGTTGGTCCCCACGAAAAAGCATGAGGACTGTGAAAAGGCATGAAATCAGCAGCAAGGTGGGGTGGGAAGAGCTTCAAAAACAGAAAAGGGTGGAAAGCCCTGGCATCCTGAGTGATGGGGAAGAGATTTTCGTGGCAAAGTGTGGTGGGTCCCTCACGCCTCTGGCTGAGGGACCCCAGAAGTCCCGCCCTTACCTGGAGAGCTCTTCTGGGGCCCCTCAGCTAATCAGTGGTGTGGGGGGCTGCTGCACTCCACTACAAAAATGGCACCCAGCGCTGCACTTGGACCACAAAATTTGGGGCAGCTGATCTGAATTTGGTAGGTCCCTAGTTATAATCTTAAACTGGAAGGGTTACCAACCTAGAAGAATCACTCTTGAGGAATATTGTCAGCACTGCCTCATACTACAGTAGCACATACAATTAAGGAGTAGCTGTACACGCTGATAAAACGGATTGATCACACCTGCTGGTTACGTACATTGATTTGAACCCTTTGGTTGAAAGGTGCTATAGAGGTTCAAAGTAATAGTTAAGGTGACCAGTTAAGAAACTTTATTGTCCTTCCCTGTGTCTTGGAGCCTGTTTTCCTGTGTAACATTTACACATGGTAGGCTATTGGCACTACCTGCTGATCTGTACAGTACTGGAAAGCCAAAGTAATTCCATCAAAATCAGCCCCCAAGGTGTCATCTTTACACTGTGGTTTTGCTGATTAAGTTGGGTATTCAGAAAAGCCCAGCCATCCAAAACTTTCTCCCCCCTGTTTTTTACTGTTTGCTATAACTTCCAGCCTTACCATTACTGAAACGGAAGGCAGGGCAGAGTTGCAATTTGCAGTTGAACTAATTTAGATTATATTAATTCAAATTGATTAATTATAAACTAATTAGCCTATAAGGAGCAACTCTTGCCCTGCCATCTGCCTAACTTCAGATTAATATAGCTAACTACTTCTCTCTGCTCATTATTGAAACAGTCCAGGAGCAGGGAAATGTATTTGTGTACATTTCTTTTATTTCTCTTTTATAAAAGCAAGAGTTTACAATAGCATTAAAGAGAAGAAGAAAACTAATTTAAGCAGATGACAAGTCAAATTTATTGGAGTCTGTCATAGGAAAGGCATGCAATTGACATGGGTTGATCCGTGGGGAGTATGCAAATCTCCATTAGGGAATGTTTAACAATATGGATTGGTCTCTTACTGCCTCAGTGAGCTGCAATCTGTTCCATTAATGTGATAATTAGGTTCTTTTAAAAATGCAGATGAATTGGTGGAGATCTTCAAAAGCTCCAATGACCTTTTGAACTAGGACGATTGTTTTTATTACTGTCAACATGGTAAACATGCTTTAAAAAACCTAGACAGGTGGGCATTTAATTCAACATTTTGTTTTTAAAAAAATGCTTTTTCTTAATAAAGACATAGCAACAGCAGAGTGAATGCAATAAATGTGCCCAAGAAAATGAGTCTTCATTTTCAAACCAAGAAACCGCAACATTTGGAATAAAAAAAGAAAAGTTACAAAATCTGGTCCTGGTCCTGCAATGAGAAACATGTGCATGATCTGTCATTGAAGCCATTGGGATGCTGCCTGGGTGCAGAGTTCAGCCAGCCCATGAAGCTTGCTATCTAGAGTTTAGGCCTCTTTAATGATCTCTTTCTCAAAGCTCACAAGAGGATCATTGCAGTCATTGAAACGACTCCCTAATTTTATATTGCAGAGGTCACAGACATACATGGAAGTTTCCATTGTGTATGAGTAATGCCAAAAAGCAATTGGTGTTTCTCAGGACTGGTAATGGTGGCTCTACAGCAAGGAGTTGCAACTGGCTGGATCCAGTCTGGACCATTGGATCCAGTCTGCAAACTGGAAGATGGGGCTTCAGCAATGTTCAACAACACCAGGAGCTTCATTCATGCATAGCCAGGCAGCAGGGAGAAGTGACAGTGGCCAGGTCCTAGCACTGGCCCACCTCAGATCCAAGCCAGGTCATTCCAACCTGCCACCACAAAAATGGTTTCCAACTGTCATACCACAGGGCTGGAGCACTCTAGTTACATGGAAGACCTGCTTGAAGCTTCAACAAGATAGACAGTACAGGGCTGCTTGGATAGCTGGTTCTAGGAGGATGATTTTGTCTTTTTTGGGAGGCATTTAGATGGGAGACTTCCACAAGAACCTCGTAGGCTGCTCTTGGTCTCAGTGCTGAAGTTTGCAGTGTCTAGTGGCACTACTATTCCCACAGCCTGTGACTCCTGGCAAATCACAGAGCAAAGGTTTAGTTATCTAGAGACACATACTGACTGGAGGGATTGGTGACTCCAAGACGCTCTTAAATGGTTATGGTTGGAAATGTCATGAGAAGACAAACAGTTATTCTTCCCCAGTTTAGTTTTTCAAAGGGGAGGGGTGAGGTTGCATTTTTGTATGTTTTATACTACCTTCAAGTGTTTGTAGATTGGGCTTGTTCTGTGTGATATTGGGGTTCTTTTTAAGTAGATTTTAAAACATTTTATTTCCTCTCGATTTCAATACCACAATGAACAGCTTTAAACAGAATGTGGAAAGAAAGCAAATAGCTTCAGTGGATGTGCATGTGAATCGTGTTGCGTTTTACCTAATAAAAGAAGACCAGCAAGAGGAAGAGCATTAACACATTTCAGAAATCCCCTTAAACTCTATGGCAGGGGTGTCAAACTCTCCACTGCCCTTGGCTGGATCCAGACTTGGATGCAGCAGGAGGGCAAGCAGAGTTATCATCTACACAACTGTCACTCACTTCCCTGCTGCTGAAAGCTATCCCCAAAGGCCCTGTAGCCCCAAATTCTGTAACAGATCCCACCTTCTGCCCCCAAAATCCTGGGCTGATCAGGAGCCTTGAGGGCTGAATAAGACAACCGATGCATTGATCTTTATTTGTCACTGACAAAAACATCAAGGATAAAATTATCCTGCTGAAGAAAAATGGGAGTTTTGTCACTTCCTTAAACATGGCCAGGATTTTTCCCCCAAAAGGTTTTTTTTAATACATCATCTAGGAACACTGCCAAGACAGCACTTGTCAAATCAGTACATTTGAGAAAGAGGGGAAGACTGATGTGACCATCTCCATGGCCCACCTGAAGACATATGCGGTTTGACAGTTCCCTGCTAACAATCTGCCGTGACTTTCCAGTCTTTTTTTTAAAACTGGGTCTGTGACTGTCTGACTCAACCAGTGGGCCAACCAGTGGTAACAGTCACCTTGCTTTTAAAAAAGGAAGCTGCGACACTCTCTTTCCAGAAGTTAATCATGAGACTTGCTTTGAAAAATGTATAAAGTGCTGGTTTTGATTTTTTTTTAACTCTTCTGCCCACCCACTACTGTTGGCTTTGAATTTTCTTTTTAACACTCCTGCCCACCCACCCAGAGTGTGTGCGTGCATGTGTGTTGCCCATAGTCTGAAAGATAATGCATAAGATTATTTTGGCCTTCACTGGAGGAGCTCTTATTAACTGTCTCATGGTGTGGAGCATCCAGCTTCCCTCGAGATCCTGACATTCCAATTACCATATTTCACAGTGTATAAATTGAGTTTTGAAGCCAAATTTTAACCTCTTAAAATTCAAACTTGACTTATACACCATGCCCTGTGAGCGGTGCTGCCTTGGACCCCCCTGGGAGCTCGGGTAGCATAAAGCCCACTGACAGCCCACCCAGAAGGTGCCACTGTGGTGAAGGGAAGGACTGCCTACTCCTGCAGCCCCTGCTCGACCTGCGGGTAGCTTGCCCCCTGGCCCCGTGGCAGGCAGGGTGGCTCTGCAACAGGAAGGATTGAGCCCCTTGCCACTTCTGCTTGAAAGTAGGCTCCTGCAGTCAGCAGGACGTCTGGTGCTGCCCAGGAAGGGGCTGGCTTGCCCCATGTGCAGTGCAGGGTATCATGCAGAGGTGGATGGGAGAAGGAGAAGCAGACTGACCCCTGATTCACAGGAGGGTCAAAGGGAGTGATGCCACCCTGAGCTTTTCCTTCCTACGGTTTTTCCCTCCTCTTCTCTACCTAGACATTTCTCAGGCACCTGATGAAGATGGACAGCTTGGCTTACCTCTTGCAGCTGATCCAATTGGTTTCTCTTCCTCCATAAGGTAGGAAAGTGGGGATAGCAGCTGATGGGGGGGGGGGTTTCTCCCAAATAGTCATGAACTTCAGCAGAAGGCTTGAATTCCCATTGTTCTTACAAGACTGATTCCACTGCCTGCTAAGATCTTCAACTTGTGAAGAATCACAAGAGTTGCCAACATGGTGTTGACACTGCCCTCTCTCTTTCACTCTATAGTGATAGACTAAACTCAAATTTTGCTTCAATAGCTATAGCAATCAGATACTAATTCCTAGTTGCCACGCAGAATTTTAGTATTTTCCTTCTAATTACTTCAGAATTAAAACAGAAGATAAATAAATTGGTAGGACACCAGGACAACATTTGAGTATAAAGATAAGCACAACCCACTGCTTTACAGGATCTGAGGTCTAATTTCATATTTCTATATGATTTTGTGGAGGAAGTCATCATGGTCTCAGCCCTGCCACAGATTTATCTGCCATGTGACTGAAAGCAGAAGCTAGCCTTGGTATTTTTTAAAGTAATTTTACAATGGTCATTGTTCTCAAGATCTAAGGTGGCTTTAAACTTCTTAGAATCAGGCAGTTTAGCTGGGTATCTAGCTTTATAAGTCTCATTTAGGCCTAACACCTATTCCAGGGAAAATCCTGGAAAAATTCATTAAGGAGTTGCAGAAGGTAAGATTCTGAATGACAGCCAATATGGCTTCATCGTGGGGAGGTCTTGTCTTACCAACCTCATCTCTTTTTATGATCAAGTGACTCACCACCTGGGTAAGAGAGAGGAGGTTGACATTATATACCTAGACTTCCAAACAACTTTTGATCTGGCATCCCACGATATTCTCACAAGAAAATTGGAAGACTGTGGGCTTGACTGCGAGATAGCCAGGTGAGAAGGAAACTGGCTGCAGAGCAGGACCCAGAGAGTTCTAATGAACGGATCTGTGCCATCTTGGTGGGAAGTGGCCAGTGGTGTCCTGCAGGGTTGGTGCTTGGTCCAGTGCTATTCAACATCTCCATCAATCATTTGGATCTGGGGGTGAAGAGCTCACTGGCCAAGTTCATGGACGACACCAAGTTATGGGGAAGCGTGGTCACGCTTGAAGATAGGCTGCAGATACAGGTGGACCTAGATAGGCTTGCAGGTTGGGCAGACCGGAACCAGATGAAGTTCAACGTTGAGAAATATAAAGTGCTCCACCTGGGGATGAACGATCCCCTGCACACCTATAGGCTTGCCAAAGCCAACCTGATCAGCACTATGAATGAAAAGGACCTAGAAGTAATAACTGACCATAGTATGAACATGAGCTGGCAGTGCAGCGCTGTAGCCAGCAGGGCTAGCAATACCCTGGCATACATCAATCTATGCATCTCCAGCAAAACCAAAGAAGTGATTCTCCCACTACTTGCCATTGGTGAGACTGCAGCTGGAGTACTGCATCAAGCTCTGGGCACCACACTTTAATGAGAGTGTGGTAAAGCTTGACAGAGTCCAGAGAAGAGCCACCTGTATAATCAGAGATGTGCATGGCAAGCCATATGAGGAAAGGCTGAAGGATCTGGGACTCTTCAGTCTGAAAAAGAGAAGGCTGAGAGGGGACTTGATAGCAGCTTACCACTGCATCAGGGGTGTACATCAAGGGCTTGATGAACAACTCTTCACCAGGGCACCCTTGGGGAAAACTAGGAGTAATGGTCATAAACTCCTGGAAGACCATTTCAGGCTCAACATTAGGAAAATCTAGTTCACAACTACGGTTTCCAGACTGTGAAATAAGCTCCGTCCAGAGGTGGTATAATCACCTACCCTGGATATCTTCAAGAAGAGACTGCACAATCACCTTGCTGAGTTTGCCTGACCCCAGTTGTCTTTCCTGCTTGGTGCAGGACCCAATGATCTTCTGAGGTCCCTTCCAGCCCCTTACAGTCTATGAATCTATGTATAAGGTTTGAAAAAAACCCCAAAAAACAACCGTGAACTATTTGGGGGCCCTGTTTGGCAGACATTTAAGGCTGGTGAAGAAACAGGAGTTGTTGGAAATGGGAAAGAAAGGTGCAGCTCACCTGTGAGAGTGAAGAGGAAGTCAAAATGTATTCACTACTATTCAATGTAGTGGCTCACCATGACATGAAAAGACTCAGTGCTGAGGGGAACTGTGCTTAATAGGCACTATGGTATATTCTATTCAGATGAGTTGCTAGTAGGGGAATTACCATGATGATGGTTTTGTCCCAGGTGGTTTTACTGATCTGGCAGGGGAGCTACCCTTGTTGGCCTTGAATGACTCAGTGTAGTTGACGACAAATGTCTGTCCCTTGCACTGAGGGCAGGCTGACCCCTGCAAGAGTCTACTAACACCTACCAATGGGAGGATCTTGGCTATACAATTTATGGTGATGGGATATTGCTCTCAGGCTTCTGGCTTGTTTCTTCAGCCTTTTACCTAGGGGGTATTTGAACTCTGAGGCCTCCAGGCTTGGGGCTTGAACCTACCTTGGGGCTTGATGCCTACCATGGATTTGGGAATACCTGAAGCCCCAGGCTGAAGAATCTGGGAAGTAGGATACTTGCCAGGGGTAACACCGTACAAACTTGAATGATTGAGCTCTGCTCAGCTGATAGAATTTGGAACTGATTTGGCTGATTCAGCTCAAGGCATGAAATTTAAAAAATAATTGATAGGCGTCTCAGCTGTTTTGGCTAAGATCAATTTTTTGGCTAAGATCCTAGGCTAAGATGCAGCATTTTTGGCACCAGAGGAAGGGTGTTGTGGGGCTAGCTCTGGCCCTCCCAGTGCCAGTCTAGTATTGCAGTGCCCCCAGGCCTGATGCCAGTTCCCTTTGGTGGCAACACTGACCCATTTTTTTTAAGGACCAAAATAAAACGAAAGGTTCTTATTAGTATGGTTGCCCAATATGGGTCCTAGGTTTTATAGCCATATGCAGTACTGGCTTCATTTAATCAACTTCACAGTTGGTTTCCATTACTAAGCACATGCTGCTTCTGGCAGCAGTTTGGTGATAGTCAGTGTTTTAATTCAGGTTTCCTTGTAAGAATGTAAGATGAGGAGCCTTTTTTCCCCATGCAGATTGGTGGGGGGATGACCTCAATTCGTATTTGTGTAAATAGGGTAATTTCATTTGATCTATATGCAATAATATCCAAAGTACTGATTTTTTCAATTCCTGTTACAAGACCGTTTTTATTTTTGTGGAATCTGCTTCCAGTTCTAGCTCAGGCTGAGGTACTTCCATGCATGTCCGTTTCATCTGAGAGAGAAGGATGTGTTTCAGAAGGGATCAAATCTGAGTCTGTCTGGCTGAGATCCTCTATGTGAATCAGTCACCTCTGGAGCTGTTTTCTTCTTCCCGGTTATTTATAGCCACCTGCCTGTAATGTGTAGAAAGAGTAACTGTGATGTTATGGGACACTTCAGTTTGGAAGACACACCATAGATTTCATGCAGATCTCACCTCTAACACACAAATCATACCCAGCACAGGGGAAAATTTGTTTTGGATCTCATTATTATGGATAAAGATATATAATAGTACTAGACTAAGCAGCTGGTCATCGTATAGGCTAGGGCTGCTCAACCCCTGGCTCATGGGCTAGTTTTGGCCCACGGTGCCATGTTGTCAGCCTGCAGGGCTCCCAATGGGTCCAAAAGTTTGGCAGCATGCAAGTGGTGCCACTGCTTCCTTGCTGCCAAATTTCCAGACCTGTGAGGAGACCTGCAGGCCAGAGATTTGGGCCCTGTGCATGGGGGACGTGCAGGGCCCTGGGAGATGATCTGGGCATGAGGCCCTGATCCCCAGATTCTAGTACAGAGGACCAGGCAGGGATAGTACAGGCTCCCAGGACCAATCCCAGCATGTGGCACCAGGTGGGGTGGGGCCAACCCTGGCACAAGGGGGCAGTACAGGGCCTTGGGACTTGATCTTGGCATGCAGGAGTGGTACCAGGCCCCAGAGCCCAATCCTGGCATGCAGAGAAATCTCAATTACATAGTATACAATGCATCAAAAAGAGCTAGTTTACAAAGCTCAGGAAAATTTGTTACCAAAATTCACAGGGAGGCAAAACTTAGAGAATGAATGATAATTGGGACTTCCTTAAGAAGGCAAAAAGCCCTACTATCACATTAAATAGAGGGGACAACTTTGACTGAAGGCCATTGATGAGAGTGGCAAAATAAGGCAGCAACTAGAAGAGTTGATACATAAAAGGGAAACTATTCTAACTTATGTTGATTGCTTGCTTAGGCAAATGGAAGGGAAGAATCCATGGCTGGCAGAGCTAAGGGCAATAAGGATAGCAAAAGTGGAAGAACAGCAACTTCTTGGAATGGCATAGGCCCATTCCTAGATAGAGATGGGAATTTTTGTTACAATGCAAATAGAATCAATAATGATTCCCTTTCTCTATTTGGAAAGAGGCAGGGTGCAGTACTGTTACCACTCGAGGCTCTTTAAGCATAGTCTGGTGTATTAATAACTGAATGGGGTATTAACATCTACAAGGAAACAGTAGTATTTTTAAAACAGTTGCTCTGGCTAACTTGCATCCAAAAGTCCTTAGAATTGGTTGAGGAGCTCCCTGCCCTGTTGATGTTAATTTTAATTAACCTTGGAATACCAGGGCCAGCCTAGCAGACTGAAAGAGTGCTAATGTATGTATTTATTTGATTTATATCCACTTTATCCAAAAGGCACACTGCTGGGCTGACATTACAAAAGACAAGTGGGTTGACCTGGATCACTGCAAGTAAGTGATTAAGATATCAATTGCAGGCAAAAATAACAGAAAACCTAATGTGGGATAATATGAAAACAGGATTAAAGGATTGGAATTTAATTAATGCCAATCAATACAGTTTAATGGAAAACAGGTTTTTGTTAAACAAACCTAATTTAATTCCATGAGGAGTTGATAAATTTGAGTAATAAAGGGTAGTGCAAACATGTAAAGTACTTAGATTTTTGTAAGGCATTTGATTTAGCACTGCAAGGCAGTTTGATTAAAAATTAGCATTCCACAATGAAGCACACATTAAATTGATTAAGCACTGGCTAATTGACATCTCAAAGTGTAACTGTCAGTGGCTAATGATCATCAAGTGGCACATGTTTCCAGTGAGATTTCCCAGCAGCCTGAAGCTTCTGAACATTTTTGTCAATTATCTCAAAGTGAACATATAATCATGAATGATACGTTTTGCAGCTGAAACAGAGCTTGGTGGAATGGCAAGGAATACATAGGTCCAGGATGCAAGTGGGCCACTTATAGCACTTCCTGATACAGGGGAGCTGGTGCTCACCACCCCCCACCCCCGTCAGTTTATTTTACACAGTGACAGCAAGCAAACCAGCCTGCTGGTAAACAAGATGGCTGTTTTCCTTCAGAACTTGAGAGTAACGCTGGCTCTCTGCATCTCTCAGCACCACAGCCTCTTTGCCTTCTGCTTCAGGAGCTCCTAACCCTCTTTGTAGCTCCACCCTCATTACCTGGGCATCAGTTTCAGCTGGTTCCCAGGCTTCAAGCCAGGCAGATTATTAGCTGCTGATCACCTTGCTGGGATCACCTGACGGGGTCACCAGTTATCTTTCCAGGGGACTGGACCTGATGATCTTCCGAGGTGCCTTCTGGCCTTATAATCTATGAATCTCACAAAAGGAACTCCATGGCATGAATAATGTTTGAAAACAAGGAAGCTGTATGAAAAGCTGGACTTTCAGAACTTACTGTTCTTTAGGCACAATCTTTCAAAGAAAGAATTAACAATCTATAATAATACTAGGCTT